GTCTATAGTCTAGTCTATAGTCTATAGTCTAGTCTATAGTCTAGTCATAGTCTAGTCTATAGTCCAGTCTATAGTCTAGTCTATAGTCTAGTCTATAGTCTAGTCTATAGTCTAGTCTATAGTCTAGTCTATAGTCTAGTCTATAGTCTAGTCTATAGTCTAGTCTATAGTCTAGTCTATAGTCTAGTCTATAGTCTAGTCTATAGTCTAGTCTATAGTCTAGTCTATAGTCTAGTCTATAGTCTAGTCTATAGTCTAGTCTATAGTCTAGTCTATAGTCTAGTCTATAGTCTAGTCTATAGTCTAGTCTATAGTCTAGTCTATAGTCTCGTCTATAGTCTAGTCTAGTCTATAGTCTAGTCTATAGTCTAGTCTATAGTATAGTCTATAGTATAGTCTATAGTCTAGTCTATAGTCTAGTCTATAGTCTAGTCTATAGTCTAGTCTATAGTCTAGTCTATAGTCTAGTCTATAGTCTAGTCTATAGTCTAGTCTATAGTCTAGTCTATAGTCTAGTCTATAGTCTAGTCTATAGTCTAGTCGATGGTGTAGTGTATGGTTTAGTCGAGTCGAGTCTAGTCTATAATAACTTTTAGTTAAATATATTTTTATAGATTGTACTTTTTGGGTACTTGTTTCAAATAGCAGCCGTTTGAAAATTTTCCCTTACATTTTCCACAGCTGAAGTCTCAAAACTATCAAGAGAGTTCTTTATTTTATAGTGCACTTAAAAATATGTTTAAGACACCTTAAATAAAAACTTAACCATGTGAATGGGTACTTCAATCACTCTGTTTAAGACACCATCAATATTTTCACGATTACTAAGTAAAGTAGCTTTAAAACACTTTTTATTAAGTGCACAGTTCTAACATTTACAAACAAACATGTTTGCAGTTTTTTTTAACCCATACTTTATAGCCATAAATCTCTTCCAATATTTGCTTAACAATTTCACATCAAATCGATTAAGTTTAAACAATATCCGGTAGTTTATGAAAAAACAGCACAAACATGAAGCACACTAACAATAACTAAAACTACAGTAGCAGCCGTGATAGCAAAAAAAAAAAAAAAAATACTAACTCATATACATATGTATGTATAGTACAAACCTTTACACTATACATACTTAGAGCCAATTGTACCAGGAGGTGTTCAGTGAATATATGTACATATAAACAAGGAACATGATGTTTTCGAAGCAGGCAAGGTTATACATAAACCAAAGCATTATCCAATGGCTGTATTTAGTCTAGAGTTAAAATGTGTAACTAGTAGCCAACTATTTTACACGATAATGTTTTATCTAAAGTTAAACATCATGATACAATGTGGAAAAGTTAAAAAACAGACACACTAAAAGTTAAGGAATAGAAAAGAACAATAGGGGTGTTGAAAAAATAGGAAATTAACCCTTAGGAGGCCTAGAATTTCTTTATATATTGGATTCGATATATTGACAAATTAATTTAATAAGGACAACAAAATGTGTTGTTAATTGGTTCCTACTTAAATCGTAAGAGAAGAAAGGAAATCATGTTTGTTTTATTTTTTGACTTTTAAAGTGAATCAATTTAAGATTATTATTGTCCTGGCAGGGTTAATTTTAACATTACAAATATTACTAGCAGTAACAGCAGCAGCATTAGTGGAATAGATTTTACATTTATTGCTTTAGACTTTTTCCCCAGACCAGAGAGAAAGGTGATAGAGCTGATACACCCAAACCTATCGGCGCTCATGCAAACTCACTTACAAATAAGCATATTTTTTATGACTAACATTTTCTGCTAAGCATTACTTATGGCAGCGCAACTATTTTAGCACTTTGGCAGTCAAATGAGCAAACATTCTCCAACACATATTATGCTATTGCTCTAAATAATATTACCATGTGTGTGTGTGTGTTTGTATCCTGCAAAAGAACGAATTAAATGAAATGAACAAAAACGGCTGCTACTTACTAGTCTTTGAATTATAGCAGTGAACTTTGTGTTACTGAAGGACTTTACTTTACTACCTTCTGTTTGTGAACATGTACAAAATTTACTACTTTCTATGTTAGTTTACAACTATACATATGTGTTGGCCATTTCTTTTTTTCCATTACTTGGTTATAGTTTTTTTTGTAATCTATAACATTTAAGTATAAAATACACGTATTCCATGGGGTTTTAGAAGGAATAGTCAAATGGAAGAGAAAAATAAAATGCCGGCAAATTTTAAGCCCTTTACTTCAAAACCAAAGAAAAATTCACCTATTAAAATTCTATCACATGATAAAGTGCACATACGTTTGCTCTCTTTAAAAGACTGGGAACCGTGTGATAAAAGGCGAAAAAGTTGTGACAAAATTTTTAGTATTTTATTAATTTAAAAAACTATAATTAGAGATTTAAATATTAATATTATTTAAAATTTTTTAAATAGGCTAGACTAGATATACTATAGACTAGACTATAGACCAGACTGTAGACTAGACTATAGACTACACTATAGACTAGACTATAGACTGGAATATAGACTAGACTGTAGACAAGACTATAGACTAGACTATAGACTAGACTATAGACTAGACTATAGACTAGACTAGACTATAGACTAGACTATAGACTAGACTATAGACTAGACTATAGACTAGACTATAGACTAGACTATAGACTAGACTATAGATTAGACTATAGACTAGACTATAGACTAGACTATAGACTAGACTATAGACTAGACTATAGACTAGACTATAGACTAGACTATAGACTAGACTATAGACTAGACTATAGACTAGACTATAGACTAGACTATAGACTAGACTATAGACTAGACTATAGACTAGACTATAGACTAGACTATAGACTAGACTATAGACTAGACTATAGACTAGACTATAGACTAGACTATAGACTAGACTATAGACTAGACTATAGACTAGACTATAGACTAGACTATAGACTAGACTATAGACTAGACTATAGACTAGACTATAGACTAGACTATAGACTAGACTATAGACTAGACTATAGACTAGACTATAGACTAGGCTATAGACTAGGAACTCATAGGACTTAGACTATAGACTAGACTATATACGACTGTAGACTTGACTAATAGACCGTAGACTAAGAGACTTAGACTATAGACTAGACTATAGACTAGACTATAGACTTAGACATAGACTAGACTATAGACTTAGACTATAGACTAGACTATAGACTATGACTATAGGACTAGACTATAGACCTAGACTATAGACTGATATAGACTATCGACTAAGACTATAGACAGACTATAGACTAGACCCCTATGACTAGACTATAGACTAGACTATAGACTAGACTATAGACTAGACAGAGACTGACTATAGACTAGGACTATAGACTAGACTATAGACTAGGACTATAGACTAGACTATAGACTAGACTATAGACTAGACTATAGACTAGACTATAGACTAGACTATAGACTAGACTATAGACTAGACTATAGACTAGACTATAGACTAGACTATAGACTAGACTATAGACTAGACTATAGACTAGACTATAGACTAGACTATAGACTAGACTATAGACTAGACTATAGACTAGACTATAGACTAGACATAGACTAGACTATAGACTAGACTATAGACTAGACTATAGACTAGACTATAGACTAGACTATAGACTAGACTATAGACTAGACTATAGACTAGACTATAGACTAGACTATAGACTAGACTATAGACTAGACTATAGACTAGACTATAGACTAGACTATAGACTAGACTATAGACTAGACTAGACTATAGACTAGACTATAGACTAGACTATAGACTAGACTATAGACTAGACTATAGACTAGACTATAGACTAGACTATAGACTAGACTATAGACTAGACTATAGACTAGACTATAGACTAGACTATAGACTAGACTATAGACTTGACTATAGACTAGACTATAGACTTAACTATAGACTATACTATAGACTAGACTATAGACCAGACTAAAGACTAGACTATAGACTAGACTATAGACTAGACTATAGACTAGACTATAGACTAGACTAGACTATAGACTAGACTATAGACTAGACTATAGACTAGACTATAGACTAGACTCTAGACTAGACTATAGACTAGACTATAGACTAAACTATAGACTAGACTATAGACTAGACTATAGACTAGACTATAGACTAGACTATAGACTAGACTATAGACTAGACTATAGACTAGACTATAGACTAGACTAGACTATAGACTAGACTATAGACTAGACTATAGACTAGACTATAGACTAGACTAGACTATAGACTAGACTATAGACTAGACTATAGACTAGACTATAGACTAGACTATAGAATAGACTAGACTATAGACTAGACAATAGACTTGACTATAGACTAGACTATAGACTAGACTATAGACTTGACTATAGACTAGACTATAGACTTGACTATAGACTAGATTATAGACTAGATTATAGACTAGACTATAGACTAGACTATACTATAGACTAGACTATAGACTAGACTATAGACTAGACTATAGACTAGACTATAGACTAGACTATAGACTAGACTATAGACTAGACTATAGACTAGACTATAGACTAGACTATAGACTAGACTATAGACTAGACTATAGACTAGACTAGACTAGACTATAGACTAGACTATAGACTAGACTATAGACTATACTATAGACTAGACTATAGACTAGACTATAGACTAGACTATAGACTAGACTTTAGACTAGACTATAGACTAGACTATAGACTAGACTATAAACTAGACTATAGACTGGACTATAGACTAGACTATAGACTAGACTATAGCCTAGACTATATACTAGACTATGGACTAAGCTATAGACTAGACTATAGACTAGACTATACCACTGTTCAATTTCATTTTTACCGCGTTCAAAACTTTATTTTTACATGTGTGCCCTACACGAGTCTAAGTCAAAGTGTGTGTTCATAAATATTTAAAAAAAGCTCTTGAATCTACTTACATCCACTGAAACACCTGGCAGTAAAAAGGTCTGTGCTGGCGGCATATCCCTGGGTACATATCGATAAAATTCATTGCCATCCTTGTACCATTTTACCGAGTACAATGCCTCACCATCTAAGTCGTAAAGGCATTCCAATTGTGCTGTTGAACCCTTAATAACGTAATTTGGTATACGTACTTCAACCAAACGTAGACTCTGGGTGAAATCTGCAAATGAAATTGAGAAAAAAATAGAGAATTTTTTTGTTAGTTTTACATAAAAACGCTAAAGATAAATAAGTTTTTGGTAGTAAATTTGTTTTTGTCTAAATCCTTTTTTTCGCCTTTTTCAGCAAAGGATGGAAAAACAGCTTTAACTAGTTATTGCAGGTAATGTTTTTTTGCACCAGCCACATTAGATAAGTAATGGTCAGTAGTATTTGGTTTTAACTTTTCTTTGTTTTTTTTTATTTATCCAACTCTTTCCTTGTGTAACTTGAGTTAAGTGTTTTAAAGTGTTTCCTAACAGTTTAGCCACGTTGCAAATTGTATTCCACGTTTACCGCTGCTTCTCTCTAACTATTGGCTTGATTTTTAATTCACTATAGTTTTTAGTTGGCTTTTTATTTTATTCCTTTTTTTGCAGTTGTTAAGAGGAACACATTTAATTTAATTAGCAGTAATGATTATAAAGTGGCTTAACCATTAATACATTGTGTAAAGTAGGGGGTAGATTTGAAAAAGGGAGGCTACAGATTGGCTTTTGAAGGGCCTCTTTAATGATTTTGGTTTGGTTGGCTTGTGCGTGTGTATGTATTTTGATTAAGAACCACACATTAAGCTTAATCGGTTTTGGTTTTAAGAAAATATTTACAAAATCCAGCTACTTACTTTGAGGTTTTCAATAAGTTTTAGCTATTGTGATTTTGAGTTTAGTAAATGAAGGTGGGATGGGCTAAAAGTTTGTGGGAACTCTTGGTAAAATGTATGTATTCTACAGACTAGTCATCTATTGAATATGAACTATGCCAATCACTTGTATATGAACTAGTCCATTTAAAGATCTATGGACTAGACTATTGACTAGTCTAGGGGCTGCATTATTGACTAGTCTTTTTACAGGTCGATGGATTAGTAAATTAAGTGGACCAGACTAATGCCTAGACTGTGAACTCTTTAGTACATTGACTAGTGTATGGAATAGTTTATTGTCTAGTCCATTGACTAGACTAGTCTTTAGACCAGTGTATGGACTAGTCGATGCACTAGACTAGTGCTTGGACCAGTCTATTGTCTAGACTATTGATAGGTTTATGGACTACTCTATGGGCTAGTTTATTGAATAGTTTATGAACTAGATTATCGATAGGTCGATGGTCTGTGGACTTATGAATTGTTTTAATTCAATAAATTATATTTTCTATATATCACAACAAACACATATCTCTTTGAATTGCTTGCATTTTTATAACCTACACTACTATAATGTTGGGGTATTATACGTTTGTGCTGATGTTTATAACACCCAAAAATATTGGTTCTATGCCAACCTTAAAGTATACCAGTCAGCTCAGAATCAAGTTGTGAGCTGTGTCCGTCCGTCTGTGTGTCCATATAAACCTTGTGTGCACGCTACAAGCAATTTTCAACATAATATGATGTAATTTGGGGCATAGTCTTTCCTTAACCCAAAAACGAATGCTGTAATATAAACATCAATATCAAAAATCTATGATGATAGGTCCATATTTACACTTGTCTTCCATATAACCCCTCTTTAAGAAAATCACTTTTTTCGGAATTAAGGTAAAAAAAAACAACAAAATAATCCAAATACTGGCTGGTGAAGAGTATCACAATGTCGGCCATAACGGACTATATATTCTTAATTGTTTTATATTTAAATATTATTCTGCATTTAATTAAACAAAAATAGTTTTATGTTAAACGTAAACAATGTTATCTGCTATACGGCCGGCCAACAGGATTTAGTTTAGGCGCAAAAAATTCGTAACGTGATATAAATTAAACATAATAACCATTTGTTTTAAAACAATTTTTTAATGTTTTTATTAAATTAATTGAATGTCAATTGTATTCATGCAAACTTTATAGAAAATTCATTAATTATTTAATGCAAAATCAGCAAGTTAAAAAAAAAATGATTAATACATAGTATTAGTTTTGGGAATAGAGTTTTTTATTGCCTTAATGAAAACAAATTAATGATTGTGGAATTAGTTTAATTTGAAAAAAAAAAAAACTGGGGAGGAGGTAAAACAAAAACAATAGAAATTTAAATTAATTTAAATTTAAAGATTTTTAATTTTTTATATTAAATTATATTATATTTTCTCTTTTTAATATTTAAACAAAAATTATTTATATTTATTATGCAAATAATAAATTTAAATAAAAATGTACCTTAATAACTTAATAAAACATATTTTCATATTATTAAACCTTTACACATAAATAAATTTCGAAAATAAAATTTATGCCTTTTTATTTATCTTCTTTTAAAAGCAAAATAAAAAAAAATTGTCTGTAATCAAATTCCTGTCCTTTTATAAGTTTTAACAAAATTATGAATAAAATTTGTATATCTGAGAATTTTAAAATTTCGGCTTGGTGTGAAAGTGAATTTATTGTAGCTGAAAAAAAAACTAACACCAACCTTTTTACTAACATAAATTTCTTTACCTTTTTTGGGGCGAAAATTTGACACCAATCACAACCAAAATCATATAGTTTTTTCTTTTATAAAACGAAACATATTTTAACACATAAACAAATGACCTGACTATCATCATTCTTGTTATTACACTCAAAGTCTGCATAAATTTTGTTCTTTTGTAGTAGAGAAGCTACACCCCAAGAAATCTGGTCGTATTAAATTTAAGACATCTCAGTTTGAAATTGTTGACGGATTCATATGAATTCTATGGCTTTGATTGATATGGAATATCGTATATAGATTATTTCAATTGAAGTAGTAATGAACTAGAACTGAAATGAACTAGAACTAGAACTGAAATGAACTAGAACTGAAATGAACTAAAATATGAAATGAACTAGAACTGAACTAGAACTGAACTAGAACTGAACTAGAACTGAACTAGAACTGAACTAGAACTGAACTAGAACTGAACTAGAACTGAACTAGAACTGAACTAGAACTGAACTAGAACTGAACTAGAACTGAACTAGAACTGAACTAGAACTGAACTAGAACTGAACTAAAACTGAACTAGAACTGAACTAGAACTGAACTAGAACTGAACTAGAACTGAACTAGAACTGAACTAGAACTGAACTAGAACTGAACTAGAACTGAACTAGAACTGAACTAGAATTGAACTGGAACTAAACTAGAATTTAACTGGAACTAAACCAGAACTGAACTAGAACTGAACTAGAACCAAACTAGAAATAAAATTAAATTTAATTTACCAATTTTTATTTTCTGAGTGTTAATAGCTTTATAGTTTGTTATAGTAGTATCTTTATCATGTATTATTTTAGTTTCTTGTTACTAATAGTTTTGTTCTCTGCTTATTTTCTAACATTCTTTTCTCATTTTTATTTTCCTGAACCAAAATTTAAATTCATATTCAGAAAAAATTTACATACATAAGTAAAGATGACAATATGGTTTTTTGTACCGTAAATTCCTGTATCTTTGTATAACACCAACAGACATATTTTCATATTTCCCAAATTGTGAAATTTTTTCTGTTCTTTTTTTTTTGGGGTTGGCTTCTTAATTTTTGTATACTTTTTTTAATATTTTCTTTTATGTACAGTTTATGCTCTATGAAACAATATAAATATTTAACAATATTGTTGTAGAAAGGACTACATGTTCGTACACTATTTTCAATAGTATTTTAAAAGAAAACCATTAATATTTCAAATTGAAACCATTCTATACCGAACTCTTCAAAATTTGAAAAAGCAATTTATATTTGGAACATATCTTTTATGTCGGATTTTTATTTATATATTGATCAAGGCGTTAGGATGTTACTCGTCACAAAATCAAGTCGAATTTCATCAAATGCGAGTTATAAACAATTAAATTTTGAAAAATTTTGGAAATTCAATTTGAAAATTTTAAACACAAGTAGAAATGGTGTACTTTATTATATGTATTTATGAATATGTGAAATTACATTTAATAAAAACACATATAGACGATAATATAAACATACATATAGTATGTATGTATAGACATGGTTATACATATGCATGTGTATGTAACATAGTATGTATATCTGTTAACATGTACGTGTGTACATATCCTGTTATTGTTGATTACCATGACAATATTGTGTTGGTCTTGATTGTGTTGTATTTAGCAAATGGAATAGGAAAGTAGTTTAACCCAAACTAAAACTACATTTCATACATAGCAAATGACACACAAACAAACAAGGATGAATACACAAATACACTTGTATATGTATATTCATATTATTAAGTACCTACATTTATATGCAGCCAAAACACATCCTTATACTAGTTAGTTTATTTACACAGATATTCTAACTAATACACACAAAGAAACACACATAAATTCCAGCAGTTTAACAAGGAGTCTAAGTGTATACCTTTTAGATGGTAATTCTTGGAAATGTTTTAGTACTTTATTGACATGATGATGATGTTTTATATTTTCGACTCATTTGACATGTAATGTATATGAAAATTCAACAATAGTTTACAACAGTGGTACTAAGTAATCTATTCCGGAGTCAATAGTCACTTTAGTTTTTTAGGTAATTCAGAGGAAAGACACCTACTCCGAACTACAGGTATGTAGTATGTATGTAGATGTGTATGTATACATTTGTCTAATGATACTAATATCATGTACATGTCATTGACAAGATTATTATTTGCATAATATTGACCAATAAATGTTACACAATTGTGTCCGTCTCACGAAGTATGTATGTATGTATATACATATGCAAGTATATTTCTAGAACCATTCTACTTACATTATAGTCTTGTATTTCTACATGTAGCCGTGTTGCTTAGAAAGGAGGATATAACATGAACCATATTGCTACTAAACAAATTTATTTAGAAATTTATTCACTCATACACATATGACTATAGCTTAGCATAAAGTCCTTTTTTATTTAATATTAAACATTTTTATATGGAAATTTTTTTTCTCTGATAACATATATTTATAGAGAATAAATAATAAGATTGCAAAAAAATATCGACTGGTTGATTGTTGTAATGAAAATATTTATATTAAAAA